AGGAAATGTCATTTCTGGTGCGGAAAATAAGGGAGAGTCGAATTGTCCAGTCCTTTTTATAAATAATATCGTCCGAGATATAGAATTTTTTTGTTTGCAAACAGTGCTTGTAATTTGTTTGAAATCGATGCGAATCACGTTTCTTCGTATCTCTCTTATTTCAGAGTTTTCAACAGGATTTTAACCCTTCGCTTATATCACCTTTTCCTCGATAAAGTGATGCTGTCATGAGAACAATTCGCACTCGACACGCTTGGAAGCCAGATATCGAGTTCTAACAAAGGAAACCACGTTCTACGATGTTCAAATTGTGTTCTCAAATTTTTGGGACTCGACGGTATCGTTAGTTTCTCAGCGACAATTCTTTGAAAACTGGAAGCGTGACTAGTGAAGGGTTAGAACAATGGTCGAGGAATCGATTAGAATCGAGGAATTTCTAACGACTGTAATTACGCGGTGAACGACGAGGGAAGGGTTTAACAGGGAGAATTTCACAGGTGAATGGGACCGAACGAAGACGGAAACGGGTCGAGGAGGATTATGAGTGCGCTCGAACGAAACAGTGATCGCGGGTTAATCAAAGCGAAAGCCGAGATTTTCCAGAAACGCTAACGATTCGGAATTCCAGCGCGTCGCCCGACCGGAAGCTGGCCGATCAAAGAGATCGACCGTAACGAGGGGACTGATTGCAATCCACGGGCAGGAAGTTCCTAGGAAGGGCTTAATTCGAGTCCAGAAATGCATAAAATCAGTCTCAAATGCCGTTGCACTCGTTAGACACCGAACGGTTGGCAAAACTTGCAGGGCACAACACGGCCTTCGGCGTCCTGCGGATTAATTAACGTGTCTCTAATAAGTCAGCCGGCCGAAACGACCGATCGAGCATAATCGATTTTATCGCGCGAGGACAGCGCGAACCGTGCGCCCCGCGATGCAACGGGCTGGCATGTTCGTTCTGTGCGATTTATGCGACTGATCGACGTACGGTCCCCGGCGAAATCGAAATTCGATCACGCCGGAATACGGTTAATTCTCTCTAATTGACGCCCGGCTTGGAAGCAAGAATAGACAATTTGGGAGGAGAAGATCATGCGATTGCACGAGGCGATGCGATTCTTACTCGTTTTTATAGTTATAAAAATAATAATTATAGTTAAAATAATAATAATAATAATAGTTATCATTTTGTAACTATATAGTTGTCGATAATTATAAAAACCAGCTGCGAGGCTCGATTAATCTAATCTTAATTAATCGTATCTCCTCTTCTCCAATTCGGGAAGAGAAGATTATTCGATTATACGAGGCGATGCGATTCTTTTCTCGTTTTTATAGTTATAAAAATAATAATTATAGTTAAAGTAATAATAATAATAGTTATCATTTTGTAACTATATAGTTGTCGATAATTATAAAAACGAGCTGCGAGGCTCGATTAATCTAATCTTAATTAATCGTATCTCCTCTTCCAATTCGGGAAGAGGAGATTATGCGATTATACGAGGCGATGCGATTCTTTTCTCGTTTTTATAGTTATTTAAAGTAATAATAATAGTTATCATTTTTTGTAACTATATAGTTGTCGATAATTATAAAAACGAGGTACGAGGGATTAATTAAGATTAAATTAAGATTAATCTAATCTTAATCAATCGTATCTCCTCCTCCAAAATTGCCCATTCGCGGAAATACTTTCCCCGGCTTTCTTTGAACTGAGACCTTGAATGGTTAAAAATTGGCGAACAGTTGGCTTCGTGGGTAAGTTTGGAAAATAGACAAATTTTCTATGCATTTTTATGCGACAATTTCATATTCTTACGACGCTACGAAAATAATAGATAGAAATAATAAATATTCATGGACGAAAGAAATGTTCGTCGTCGCGTTTATTTTTACAAAAAAAAACGATCGACGGCGAATTAGAATTTTGCATAAACGTCTTGGAACATATTTGTGTCGTTCTCAAAAATTCGAATCGCTTAGGCGAACGACGTTGAAATTCGCTCGCGAATGTTTGCGAGCACCGAGCAGATTTTCATACAGACACGATTATCTCCCTACGATACTATTGTGGCGTCGCATCCCTCTACCTGAGCGCGGCCGCTAGCAATAAAACAAGTACCGTTCCTAATCCTCAAAATTCTCTAAAAATCACGTCGGGGTCACCAATTTTAGCACTAAAGGGAAGGTTAGCGAATCGGAGAGCGATTCAATAAACTGCACTAATAGTAACCTTAAACACGCTCTCCGATTCGCTAACCTTCCCTTCAGTGCTAAACTATATACGTATACACACAAGCGGGTACACAAATCTGGTGACTTTATATTGGACGTTAAAAATCGTTCAAAAATCTAGCTCGCTAAATGCATGGAACAGAATTGGTGCCGCGATCGCAGAAGGTATAAAGATAGCGACGGTTGTGCAATTTCCCAGAAATACGTAAAACGCGTTTCTCGTTTGGAAATGTACAAATTAAAAAGTGTGCTCGCATGTGTTTCTTTCTTTTTTTCTTGGTTTCTTTTAATACGAAATTCGAGCGTAAATTACAAATTCGTAACATATCGCAAGCTATCTAAACGGACACTTTAATGCATTTCCAAAAATATTGCGGTACATTTTATTAAAATATAGGTAAAGAGATCAAAAAATATGTTTGACTCCGGAATAAACCGATCTGTACGATTCATATTTCCTTATTAATTAGTGTAACAAATAGCAGCGATTCGTCTTCTTTTTTTTGCCCCCAAACGTTTCTTTTTCAACCTCGATTCACGTGTAATTTGCCAATTAACCTAATTTATGGCTCTGCAGAAATTTGACCTGTACTTAATCAGTAACTTGATACCTCGTTAGTTACTTAAAGCTGACTTCAAGAATACTGAACATTGATATTTAAATAAATTAATCGAAATCAATTTATTTACATCGTTTTTGCTTTTTTACATTCGATTCTTTGGAAATGTTCATAAAACGAGACATACTCAGAGAATTAAATGACTCTTCGACAATGGTGAAACAGTAGTACCTAATTCCCAGTTTGTTCAATTAGGTTTCATTAATTATTTATCGTATTCATTTCTCTGCATAATATTATCATTATGCAAAGAATGATCTACGACGATGACAAAGAAAAAACACATTAAATAGAAACATAACAAAACAGTTTCATTAAATTCTCCTGATCGTTCTACCGTTTATTGTTTCATTTAGATTATAAAAAATGCTCGGGTCTTGCACTTCCGAATCAATCCTTTTGCAGATTAAACCAACCTTTTTGCAATGCAAATTAATCCTTTTATAGATCAACAGGGGTCGTCCTTTATCCAATCTTTTCTTCGAATATTTTATATACATAGTACAAAACAATTGATCTTCCGTAATCTTCTCTAGTTATTTACAAAAGCATTGTTCAATCTGTAAGTTCAACATGAATTTTATTACAAATAATTACAAACAGCCGAATTTAATTTGAAGCAGAGCGAATTCGATTTGCAAGAAAGATGAACGAAATCTGCGCAAGAATGAATTTTATTTGCAGAGAGATGACTACAGAAATTTAATTGGTTAATTTTGAGCCGCGAAACCTGTACCAAGAGTAATCGGACTAATCGCCAAGATGGAAAAAGATACGACGGGTTATCGATGCCATAAGCCGTCGTGCGCGTTCGTTGAATCGGAAACGTATGCTGCGTGTACATGTGATCGACGGTTAGCGACGCGTATTAGAAACGGAACTTCGCGAATCCAGTGATAACGCTAATAGAGGAACAGCCAACTTGCCCCATGAAAGCCGAGAAACCGCGACAACGTATCCACATAAGAGCGACATTCGAGTTCCAAGTCGACGTTACAGAATAATAGAATCGAGTTCGAGCGGAGACGAAGCGTGCTCGAACTAAGAATCCGATTTCTGAAGCCGGGAATATTATTAGCGGGGACCGAAAATGGAGGGAAGCTCGAAACCAACTGTCCTCGTTAAAGTCGAAATTCCCTCGATCCGCGTTCTACCCCGCGTCGACAACCAATAATTTCGGTTCCGTTTGAACTCGCGCGGATCGAACCCGGTCGAATCCTCCGCAAAAAAGAAGGAAGAAAAAAAGGAGGGAAAAAAGCGCCACGCCGGCGTACAACAAACTTTTAGGTCCGGCGGGCGCAAAAAAGAACCGGGCCGGCGATTAAAATTTTGCTATCTTCTCGGAGCCAGCCGCTTAATTAAGCACCAAATCAAATCGCCCCTATGGCGAGAAGCCAATTAAGGAAACCAACGAGCCGATTATTAATTCCGCGCGGCCGCGGAGGTTACAGTTCGGAGGCCGTAACTCTCTTAATTCCGTGTGCGCGGCTAATTTCCCCGCGAAAAGTTGCTTCGACGGGGGGGAAAAAGGGTGCCCCGGCGAAAAAGCGAGAAAGGATCCGCGCCGCGCTCGAAAGGAATTTCGCCGGAGCGCGCTTAATTGGAAGTCTGCGCCCGACCTTTGACGAGCCCACTCGATCCTGCTCGACTAGAAACAATCCGCGTCGAACGCGATTAATTGGCTGACCGACGCGACGACATTTACGCACAGGAGGAACGTCACGGTTCGCGCGCGAGCGCGCGCGCGGTCTTTCTTTTCCATTAATTCTCTCGTGTTCTTCGCCTCGACGATATACAGTAGTCATTTCTCTCTAACTCGCGCTCGGATTGCGCGCAAGAAAGGACATTTTTGGGAAGAGGAGATACGTGGTTACAGTTTTTATAGTTATATCAAAAATATATAGATCGGTGTCCCAAAATTATGGTGTTTCCGGTCAGTGAGAGGTTCCTGAGATCATTCGAAGCAACTTTTTCCTAAGCGAAAATGCAATCCGAGGCTTCGTTTACGAGTTATCAACGAAAAACGCTGGCCAATGAGTGATCGCGTACGGCTGACGCTCCGCCCCGGGACCACCGCCGCTGCATCGATCGACGCGACGTCAGCCACAAGGGCGGAGCGCCGACCGCACTCGTCCTCCGATTGGTCCGCGTTTTTCGTTGATAACTCCTAAACGAAGCCGCGCATTGGATTTTCGCTGAGGAAAAAGTTACTCCAAATAACCTGAAGAATCTCTTATTTCCCGAAAAAACCATAATTTCGGGATACATACAATATACGTACATTTGACATAACTATAAAAACCGATCGTATCTCTTCTTCCCAAATCGCCCATTTCTGTGCGCAGTCCGAGCACAAATTAGAGGAAGATCACTGCATCCGCGATGCCATAAGCTTCGTTTACCGGGCAGCGGAACGCGAGTTCACTCGTTCGGTGTTCGGAGCTTCAGCAGGTAACTCGAGCTACCTGGACACCCGGCTTTCCAATCGTCCGCCTCGCGCCTTCCTATTGCTTCTGTTTGAACGATTCGTCGAACATCGTTCAAGGACGAATCCTCGAGGACCTGATCTATGCACGGGAACCGTTTCAGTTTCCCGTCGCAAGTGTCTACGAAGAAGCTCGCTAAAAGGGGGACCTTTAAGTAACTATCGCCGGTCGCGGAGCCCTCCGGCCACTTAGGATCCCCGGCCGACGCCGCCGCGTCTCTGCCACGTTTTCGTCGTCGTCGCGCGGCCCCCGCGGACAATCGCGGTGCCCGACGAGAATGGGAGCGATTCTAAACTTACAGTTAAGGTAATTGCTCCTCGACGATTGCCGCCTAGCGTCTCTCCTAGATTCTCAGCTACACTATACATTATACACCGAGCTAACAGCGATTAAACGAAGACTCTAGCGACTCCAGCCGGAGTTCCTGTTTCTCTCGTCTCGGCCCGATTCTCACGAACGCTTCGTCGATCGATTCGCGTTTTCTTCTTTTTGGCTACGTGTTCGTTTGTGTGCGGTGACGGTGCAATAGTCGATCGCCGGAGGAGTCAGACCTTTCGGGTCCATTCTCGTCGGGGCCCGTCGCGTCGTCGACGCGGCGCTCGACGATAGACGGAAGGGGCATCGTGTAAAAATGTTGTTGCGCGGAAAAGCGGCGAGATCGGTGGCCCGACGGGATCTGGACGACCTCGAGCAGCTGGAGAGCCGCTGGCTTTTTTCAGCGGAGCCGACGGAAATGTAACAGCGGGCCCGGAGCCGTGTCCCGGCACCGAACGAACGGGTGGACAATCGTTCGGTCAAACGAGCCGATACCAAATCCTCCCGCGGATCTCGAGCAACGTATCGTTTTTCGTGGCGACTGTTCACGGGGGTTCCTCTCGCTAGACGAACTGCGACGGCGTCTTCCAACAGCTCGCGCAGCAGGGCAGCGCGCTCTTCAGGGTGTCCTTGAACGCCTCGCGGAAGTCACGGTTGAAGTACGCGTAGATCAGGGGGTTCAGGGCGCTGTTGAAGTAACCTATCCAGAAGAGGACGGACACCACTGTGTCTGGACAGTAGCAGGATTCGCCGCAGAGGGACGTCGTCAGGTACCTGGAAAAGACAATGCAGAACGTCACGGACCAAGGATCTTTCATCATCGCGTCGTAAACGGCGAGTCGCCCGGCGGAGTTTCACTTGAAATAACTTTTTTTGTTTTCAACGATACGTCGTTGGAAAGTGTAACGTTCGTTTGATCGTAATTGACGGAAGTCCGTCGGATAGGCTTTTTTAACCCTTTGTTAACTCGAGCGGCGAGTCTGAGGCACCACTGAAATTATTGTATCACGTTCTAAGATCATTTTTATATCATCGAAGCTTAAATTTTTTAAATTATTAATCCTTTGTTAACTCGAGTGGTGACTCTGAGGCACCACTAAAATTTGTTACACCACGTTTTAAGATAATCTTTATATCATTTTTATCACTTTTGTATCATCGAAGTTTAGGTTATAAATATTATTGGAAGCATAACTGTGTTCTATACATCGGGAGAATCAATTTCGTGCGCATGAAATGCACTTTGTCATATAAGATGGAATTATTGTAAGTCAGAAGAATTATTTTAGATTTACTGTTAAAACGGCTTCGAGTGCAAAGGGTTAATCTTTGACGCGAGGAGTTCTGTCGCGAAATTGTTGACTTTCTTCGGAAGAGAAATTTATTTCGGAGATTTCTACCATATTTGCATCTTCGTTGGAACAAGATATCAGGAAATTTATAGTTAGTTGATGTAGAATTCGATTAAAAAGTTAATAGAACGATGGCTCAACGTCGCATTGATACATCGACGACGTCAACGTCGCATTGGCTTCAGTCACAGTTTTTTCGTCACAGATTTTTAGTCGTATATTTTAGTCATAGTTTGATTTTCGATTAACCACAACATCGAACGGAAGTATAAACGCCGTTTTCGTACATCGAGATACAGGGTGTTTCATAATTAATAGTTATCGATCGTCGACAACCATAGAAACGAGCCGCAAGTCTTCCCAAATTATCCATTTTTGTGATCCGAGCGCGGATTGGAGACAATTCACTGCACAGTAATGTCTCCCTAACTGACGCTCAGATTGGGCACAAAAATGGACAATTTGGGAAGAGGAGAAACGATTCTTCGAGCCTTGCGACTCGTTCTTATAGTTACCGATCGTTGACAACCATAAAAGCAAGCCACAAGTCTTCGCAAATTGTCCATTTTTGTGATCCGAGCGCGGATTGGAGACAATTCACTGCACAGTAATGTCTCCCTAACTGACGCTCAGATTGGGCACAAAAATGGACAATTTGGGAAGAGGAGAAACGATTCTTCGAGCCTTGCGACTCGTTCTTATAGTTACCGATCATCAATAACTATAAAAAACGAGCAGCAAGGCTCGAATAATCATATCTCGTCTTCCCAAATTGTCCATTTTTGTGCACAACCCGAGCGTCAATTAGAGAGACATTACTGTAATCTGTTAAGTATGAATGTTATTCCGTTCATTTCGGTTCGAATAAAATTCTGACCACTTGTTATCATTATTTATAAACATTTCAGTAAATATAGACACACGATGAATTTAAATTGCCTGTTCGTCTATTTAAATGCACAATCTGAGCGTCGATTAGAGAGAATTTACTGTATTCAGGCAACGCCGTCGATCTTCTGTCGCAGCGATAAACAAAATATAACAAACAACGCTATCACAAAATCCCAACAGAGTCGCATGCGATTTTTGCAGACAGCACCGCCATTTTAAACATCTTAACACTTTATCGACCGCTAGCCTATTTATCGGCTTTTCGATTGCCAATGTTTATCGATCGCTAGCCTATTAATCGGCTTTTCGATTGCCAATGCTTATCGACCGATAGCCTATCAATCGACTTTTAGCTATCGACGGTTTTCGCTTCTTTACTGTTTTGTTAGTAGCTGACCTCCTGTATGCTGACCTCCCCATATCCTTATGAATTATA